ACCCCCAACACTGCTCATGTTTATCTGCATATTCTATATGTTCTGTTTCTGTTGAGCATATGGTATGATCAGTTAAAACACTGAATTTAGAACATTATTACTTTAAATTCACATATTTACTGAAATTACTTTCTGTATGAATACATAAATAGCCAACAGTGAATCCATGTAGGGCTGATCTCAGCTTGGTTTGTTTAAGAATCCTACTTTTTTTGTATAAAATTATGAAATCTCATTTGTTGTTGATGTTGTTTTTAATTTGTAGATGATGTAATGATGTTATTTATGCCACATTATGGAGCAACTGAATTTAGCGCAACACTGCATATATACATGTATATAATTGTTTGGTCACTAGATGGAGCCATGAAGACAGAAGTTTTCCATGAAAACAGAAGTTCTGTAGGCTACACATACCAGGAGACACTACCTCAGCCTAATGTAGACTACTTGAATTCCACTCCTCCTTTTAGAAATAAATAAAATGATTTTTGTTCACTAAAGAAGTGAACTGTAATACCCATAATGATTTATGTTGTTTACATTTGTAAGGACACATCATGGAGGGGCTCTAAATTTTGCTGTTGAAGATCTAATGCTAGCTGGTTCACACTGAGGTTAGTCAAAAGTATGTTACTACAGGAATAGACTGGTATGGAGTGGCCATGCAACATTTAAAATTTGCATCTCTTTAGATTTTTAAAGTACTACATCAGAATGTACTAAGTGTGCACTTATCATGCTTATCATGATGTTTATTTTAAGCGAATAAGAGTGCTTTCTCATTTCAAATAACTGTAAGACCACTACACAAAGTGAACAGCAGTCGAGCTTAAGCATTTAAAGGTCTCCACTTTTTTTTTTTTGCAGCTGGGAGAGGATGAGTGGGTGGGGGTGGAGGTGGAGGAGGAAAAAGAAACAGAAGACAGTTTTGGTGTCATGGTGAGAATGGAGGAAATGGACAAAATGGTTAACATTTCTGAGGCAAATTAGCAGATCAACGTTTTTGTGGGGGGAAAAGGAAGTATAGATATAGCCTTCAAATTCATTTGACAAAACTAACTCTACACAGAAGCACTGTCTATATTAAAGGCACAATATGTAAGATTTTTTTATTAAAATATCCAAAAACCACTAGAACAGTGTTATATATTTTGCTGATTTATATAATATATAATTATAATAATATAATTATTATAATATATAATATCATTTTGTTTCTTTGCTAAAAAATTATTATATTTTCGGAAGATATTTTACTCTATTTAATATATAATAACATTTAATATTATTGCTAATCATTTTTAGGTTGTATTAAAGGTGCTTGGAAAATATTTTAGTAGGCTACAATAAATGTTTTTCAAAAATTTATGAAATCAAACCAAAAACATGAAACACGGATGACATTTCCAAAAACAAATGAGTTTTAAGTTTTACATTTCTAAAATATTTCGCCTTGTTATCATCTCGGACATAGCCTACTTATTTGTCATTTTGTCAACCCTTACTGTTGCTTTTTTACCTTTTTTTTTTCCTTTATTGAAGAAATTATTGAACATTACAATAAATGTTAACAATTAAGTCCACATACACAAGAAAGAAGAACAATTTTAATCTGTAAGACAGCATTTAAGAGAAGAGAGAAAGAAACAAATAAATAAATAACTAAAAAAACACACATACACATAAACAACTAAACAATAGTTCAAATTATCTTTCTTCTTCCTTAGGACAAAATGAAGGACTACAGTGGGATATACAAAAAAAAAATCCTCCATGAAATCTAACAGTATATGTCATTCTTTTTGTTATTCATTTGCATTAGACACTTTCAAAGATTACATTTCTAATAAAAATAAATTACATTTTGGTATGCTTTTCGCATTTTTTTGTTTAAACCTGCCCTCCTTCCTCCAACGTGCTCTAGAGTTTGACAGCTCATCAGCATTAGAGGGCGGAGCTAAAGATGGGCTGGGCATAATACAGCGTGGTCTGTGTATACATAGTGGAACGTGCCCGAATCAGTTGATAAAGTGACTCGAGGAGTTGACATTTAACAGAGGCTGCTCTGACTGACATCAATCATTTCACCTGGCGTGGGAGCCGAGAATTAAAGACAGCAACAGGGATTCTGACATGCACTTTCAGAAATGTGAGTACGGAGACTTTTTTCGTTTATTTACAGAATTTATACAGCAGAAAGTGATGGAGAATTTAAGTTGGCTTTATGAAATGGTGGAGTAAAAAAGACAGAAATTGCCGACTTTCTCAGGGGAAAAAAAGGTACAAAATTTGTCACTATGGGCAGTTGCCTACCCTACTAATATGTATACTTGAGGTACTAATACCTACCTTTCAACTACTAATATGCACCTTTTAGGGGTAAATAAGGTACTTTTTGAAAAGATACCGACCCAGTTACAGCTTTAGTACCTTTGTGTGTGTGTGTGTGTGTGTGTGTGTGTGAGAGAGAGAGAGAGAGAGAGAGAAAAGTAGAACAGAACTATGTGCAAACGTGAATGGAAGTTGAAAGCAAAGTATGAGAGAGAGAGAGAGAGAGTAAAGTAAGTGTTCGGGTTAAAGGACCACTAATAAATTGACATTAGCGTTTTAATAAGTCATTTAACTAAATACACAAAGGCTATTAAATACAAGTATTTTTGACAACATATGCGATACTACCTTTATCTTTTGCTGTTTACATGTTTTTTATATGACGTAAGCTCGGTGATGTATGACCGTTTAAAAATAGACATAACTCATTTGAATAAAGGATCCCCCAGCAACGTAGAGTACTGTCAGTCACTGAGTTCATTTTTACAGCTATTTGGACAAACCCCTTAATAACTCCTCCCTGTTCAACTTTCATTTCCCGTTTTTAATGGGTGTGAGTCTCATTTTTATAGAGAAAAGCCTGTGAAAATGATAAAGAAAATATATCTGCCGACTTTAAAGCAGGCATTTCTAATACTGGTACAAACTGTCATGTGGAATATGCCAGGTGTTTAGGAATAAAGTGCCATCTAAGATGTTTGTACCTGTGTCTAGAGTCAGATAGCGGAGCGAGAGCTACGGAATCCCCGCGATGACACTCGCGCGCGTGACTCACTGGCCAGGGATCTCCCTCTTTGAAATTACAAGATAGAGGTGCGAGGGTATCCCAGCCGCTAATGCCCACTCTTTCGGACATTTTAACCATAAAAATCAATCTTGTGTATCTGTAAATATGTGACCTTTGAAACTTTTTCGAGTGATGGAAGCATTGTTATTAGATAGCCTGCTTAAAGAATATGAATGTCAGGTGTTTTCTACATCATTAACGTTTGGTGGTTGTTGTTGTAACACATTTTCAACGTCTCCTCCACATTAATCTCTTATAACTAACACTTTGTGTCTAAATGATGTGAATTAATGTCAGCTACAAAGATGTTGTTACAATCTACTCCACTAATACCCCATTTGCTTATTAAAAATGGCTTAGACTTAGGGTCATCCCCCATGACCACTTCATTTTAATTTAATTTTACTTTTAATTCAATTAAAAGTACAAAAAAATATGTATAAACATTCTAAAAATATAGTAGACTGTGTGTTAGTCACATCTCAACTGTGGAAACTGTAGGTCAATACTGTCCTATTATGATCTTTGTGGGTCCAATAGAGGTGCACTGGACAGCGTCCTGTGTGTGGATGCAAATACTTTATATTTTTTAAATTACTGTAACCTCAGAAGAGTAATGGTCATGAATGACAATGATTTCACGCTAATCGTTTAAATACATATTGAGACATTTTGATATAACTTTCTGAATTCGTGTATCTGTAAAGATATTATAACTGTTGTTTTAACTCCAGCTTTTTTCTTAATCTTTCAGAAATATAGAACTTTATTGTCGTTTTTTTTTTTATTTCTTTGAGTCAGTTATACACAACCACATGTAATGTACAGGGTTGAGCAGCAGATTATCTTTCCTTTTAACTTTTTGAGTCAGCTTTAAAAAGTGAGACTGAGAAGTGGAGTAATTAAAATAACATGGAATGGAGAACAAACAAGAGAGATAAGGAAAGGAATGATCCCCTCAAGGTTATGCCCAGTGGAATTTCCATCTTCCTCTTTTGAATCCCCTTCATCATAAGAATTAGGCTGAAACCAGTTACTTTTCCTGTAAAGGGATACATTGCAGAATAAGACGCAAATCGTTCTTCTGTCTAAACTACAAGTAGATAAA